GGTTGCGTTGTCGGCTGTGGTCACCGCTGGTCGCCGCTGGTCGGCTGGGGCGCTGTCTGAGTGTAAATTGCAAGAGATCTCGCTCCGTTAGAGGCTCTGGCGGTTGCGTTGTCGGCTGGTCGCCGCTGGTCGCCGCTGGTCGCCGCTGGTCGGCTGAGTCGGCTGCGGCGCCGTCTGAGTGTAAATTGCACTACATCTCGCTCCGTTAGAGGCTCTGGCGGTTGCGTGGTCGCCGCTGGTCGCCGCTGGTCGGCTGTGGCGCTGTCTGAGTGTAAGTTGCAATAGATCTCGCGGCTGTGGTCGCCGCTGGTCGCCGCTGGTCGGCTGCGGCGCTGTCTGAGTGTAAATTGCAATAGATCTCGCTCTTAGTGCAAAGTGTAATGTCTGCGCAATACCTCGTACATCCGCCGTGCACATTACTCTCCCACACCTCTCTCCCACCCCTCTGTTGTGTAATTCTGACATAATTCCTGACAAGGCCATGTTGTAGAAGTTATTGAGACTCTGACTGCTTTGTGCTTTAGAAACTTAAGTTTCGTAAAGATTCATATGTGGGGTTATCCGGTCCTTTAATTTGTTTTCCTTTTCTGATATTGGTTGCGTTTCAGGTCTAACAACAAACAGACCCAAACTCTTCACCGCAGTGTTGTGGCTTTAGCTGAATGTCCACCCTGAACCCTCCTGGACGCGTGAGCCGCTTGGTTCGTTGTGCCCTTGTTCCATTGTCAGGTGCAGTCTGCTCAAGGCGGCGCGCGTCTTCAGCGGTTGCAGGCCGGAGGATCTGAGAGCCAGGCAGCAGGAGCTGCCGCGTCGGGGCAAAGCAGAGGCTGAGACCGAGACTACACGGGGTGAAGGAACGACTTCTGCAAAAGAGCGCAAGAAGAAGGAAGAAAGACTGCAGGAGAGTCGGGGCACTGGGACAGAAGCCAGAGCCTGCCAGAAAAGGCTAAAGACCTCGGGAGCAGACCCCGAAGGAGGAGACGGAAGAACAATAGGAGGACTTCATCCTGCGGCCCAATGGGCAGTGAAGGCGAAGCTCATAGAAGATCCTGCTTCTATTCCCCTTTGGCTATTATTGATTGTTTAAGTTAGAACCTGAGAAGAGTTGAACTGGCACTGATTTAGAATTCGAGTTGAATTGGAGTAAGATGAAGCTGAATTAGAAATACAGTTGGAGTCGAAATAAACTAGAACTGCGCTTAATTAATTTGAAGTCAGATAGACGTCGCATAAAAAAAACATTTTAAGCAAACATAGAAGTAAATTCGATTCATTTAATGTAGAAATGAATCTTCTTTCAATGAAAGTTAAAGCGTCAGATCAAATTTAAAGTTGAATTGGAACTAGCTTAGACGTACATCAAATTTAGGTTTGAATTACATTAGAGTTGAATCAGAATTACCTCATTTAGAGTTCGATTAAATGGCATTAGAATCAGTTTTAATTAGGGTTAATTGATCACTAAATCCAAAATAAGCAGTAGAAATTAACGCTTACCAGATATATAGCGTGAACTATTGGGGTTAAGAGCTGCGTGTGTGCGTTTTTGCGCCTGGGTGCGTTTTGCGCCTGGGTGCTGGTGCCGCTGCAGGGCGCCGTTGCTGTTCCAGAACAGGAAGAGCTGTGTGAGTTCTTGAGCTGCTCTGTGTGCGCCTGGGAGCTTGGGTGCAGGGTTCCGCTGCAGGTTACCGCTCCTCGTGCGCTTTGGGGGCTTGGAAGCTTCTGCCGCTGCAAGGTCCCCCTGCTGTGTGCGCTCGGGAGCTTGGGTGCTGGTGCCGCTGCAAGGTGCTGTGTGTGTCGCGCAGCGTGTGCTGTGTGCGCTTGAAAGCTTGGTGCTGGTGGCGCTGGCTGTGTGGCCTGGGAGCTTGGGTGCCAGAGCGCCGCTGCTGTGGCTTGGGTGTTGCAGGGCGCCGCTGCTGCGCGCGCTTGGGAGGTTGGGTGCTGCTTGGGCGCTGGAGATGCTGCAGGGCGCCGCTAACTTGCCGCTGCAGTGTGCCTTGGCAGTGTGCTGCTGGTGCTGCCGCAAGTCTTTTTGCTATCTGTGGTCTACGCTTGCGTAATTTCGAATGCAAATGGGTTCAACAGACCAAAACCTCGAGAATTACACCGGCATAGACCCCAGATAGCGGGTGTATAGGATTCAAGGACACGCCACGGACGGCTGTCACCGCAGTGCGCAACATCAGACCAGTCCACCAATATGCGCAACATATATCAGCTGAATCCTGGCGTAACATCATGTCATCCCTGGCGTGACGTGATGTCGTCCCTGGCGCGACATGGTGTCATCCCCTCATGTCACCCCTGGCGTGACATATGATGTCACCTAGCGTGACATGATGCCATCCCTGGCTTGACATGATGTCGTCCCTGAGCATGACGTGATGTCATTGACGTAATGTTAGTTTTTGTCCCTGGCGTGACGTGATGTCACCCCTGGCATGACGTGATGTCATCCCTGAGCGTGACGCGATGTCATTGACGTGATGTTAGCTGTTGTCCCTGGCATGACATGATGTCGCGCCTGCGTGACGCGGTGCCACTCTGGCGTGACATGATGTCATCCGTGGCATGATGTCATCCCTGGCGTGACGTGAATGCCCTCCTGGGCGGGAAAACAAAATGCCCATCCAGGCAGCAGCGCTTGCAAAACCAAAACGCGGACCCAGAGACATTCAGCTAGACTCTCTCAGCGCAGAAACATAGAAAATATGCACTCTGGCAAGGGCAACGGTTTGGTTTGCCAAGCGTGGCTCACTGGACAAAATAATGCACCAAGCAGACACAGAACATAAATCAGGGCGTGGCGGCGAGACATCGTAGCAAATCGCTCTCGCCTTTTGCCAGTCTGTTTCGCAACCATGCAGCCCGCGCCGCCTCACTTGACCGCGCACGTGCGCGCGCAAATGCAGAAAAGGAGCACGTGGAAGGTCTTGTTTTAACCTTCCTGTGCCTCTGAGCCTTGCGCAGGTTGCTCAGAGAGAATGACAAACGGTTGGGAGAAGTACAAGTCGTTTCGTGACTTATTGCGGAGGGTCGTGAAAAGTAGGGACTGTGCGTTGATATATTATCCATGCGGTCGCAAATGTCTAGATAGTTTTTCTATGTGCATGCATGCCGTGCTTGATGAGACCTACAAGATCTCTAAGGGCCCATGCGTGTGGTTTCCTGGCCCATATGACCAGTGGACGAAGGGTGCCAGCGCGAGTCTGACCTGCACCCAGCAGCTCCACCAAAGCGTCATTCGTTTGCCACGACGTTTGGCTGTCTCACTGCGTACTTTAGCAGCCATATCCGTCAGCAAAAGGCAGTTGGCGCTAAGGTATATCACTGTTGTCAACAAGCTAACTGGAGCGTCAAGCATGGTGAAAGGCCCTTGTATTTGGTTTCCAGGGCCTTATGTCCTGCGCTTAGCCAACCATGTGCTTGCAGATCTCTTCCAAGACGACGTATACCCCCTCGCGTCTGAGGACTCTGCCTCAGCTGTCAAAGAAGCCATTGTACTGCAGGATGACGAGTATGTTCCTTGGTCAAGCGAAAATATCTTAGGCCGTGAAGGTGAAAAGGTTTTACTGAGGGTTTCTTGGGATCGGATTACTGGCTTGCCCTAAAGTCGTCGTGTTCGTGGGGGCGGGTGGGATGTTGATAGGCCTGGCGCGTTTTCCTTGTTTGTTGTCACTGGCGTTTTTTGCGTATGTAGTAGTTGTTTTTGCAAATTACCGACTAGGCTATATTGAACTTGTTCCAATGACAAATCTTCGGCGCACGTCGCGCGCCTAACGCGCACATAGCATGTCAAATGTATTTCAGAAGACGTGTAGTGGAAGGGTCGGAAAGGTTTGATCATGTAGAACGCCTTCACAAAAGGCTAACGTTTATAGGGAGGCCGTATTCATTTTGAACCAAGCAGAGAGATTTCTCAAGCAAACGGCTCTCTGAATGCATCATTACCAGGAGCGCCTGAACGAAGGTCTGAAACAGTATGTGAGAGGGAGAGAGAGAGAGAGAGAGAGAGAGAGAGAGAGAGAGA